TCTGGGTGCCACTGGACCAACCCAGCAGCACCCCAGCTGCTCTGCCCCAGGCGTCCCCAAGTCAGCCGCTGCTGAAACTGACCAGGGGCTGACTACAGGAAGCCCCTGCCCCGGGCTTCCTGGAATCAGCCGCTGATCAGTTTCAGCTGCAGCTGACTTGGGGATGCCTGGGGTTCTTAAGTTGAATCTGTATGTAAGTCAGAACTGGCCTCCAGATTCAGCCACTGTTGAAACTGATCAGTTTCAGCAGCGGCTGAACCTGGACGCCAGTTCCGACTTACATACAGATTCAACTTAAGAACAAACCTACAGTCCCTATCTTGTACGTAACCCGGGGACTGCCTGTATGCAGTAAGCTGCATTCCTCATTCAATATACCCATCTTCAGAGGTGTCTGCATAAATTCACAAGATTGCCTTCACAACACAACAACAGCAACACACATTGTTGATGAACAGGATATATTTGTCTCAATAGAGCTTCTCTACTACCACTAAAAATATTAATTGGTATATTTATATTCCGTAGAAAAATTACTTCAGTACTGACTACCACTAAAAATATTAATTGGTATATTTATATTCTGTAGAAAAATTACTTCAGTACTGGAAAAATCACTGATCTGTAGAGCACTAACATTGTTCAAACCAGATGCAAAAAGCACTTTGGAATTGTGCACTCTCTCTTGTACATACACACATCATTACAATGGAATTACAGCAAAAGTAGTCATCAGAAACTTTACAGACAATAGACAATTATCTCCAAACCAAATATTACAGACCCAGAAAATTCTGACAAAGTTGCACTGAACAGTAAACCAAACATGCTATGGTATGGAAGTGCTTAGATAATGCATTCAAACATCTGAATTCTGACCTCTACAGAAGCCTGGAATAACAAATTAATTATGAGTAAGACATTTTAGAGTTTATGGTACCAGATTAAATGAAAAATAGTTGCTTCCCTTACAGCAGGTATTACGTATTCCACTCCTGTGCACAGATTTTTTTGGCCAGCAATAGTCATTGTGTCTGTGCCTGTGTTCTAAGTGCCATCATGTCTCCTCCACCAACATGCAAAAAAAGGTAGAATGGGGCAGTAGATTTGCCCAATACAGGATTTAGAAGGTATAGGATTCCCCAGAAGCATTGTTAAAAGGTTGGAATACACATGGACAACATCTTGAACAGTTGCTGTAAAGAGAGTAACATTTCCTTCCAGATTACAGAGGGAGACTTCAGAACTTTTATTTATGCTAAAATTTGACACGTTGCAAATGGGCCTTAATTGAGATAATTATCTTACACATTACAAAGACAGCCTCCCCACTTCTTGATATTCATAGTGACCCCCAGATTAGCCACTCAACTGACTCTTGCAGTAAGCAATTTCCTCCTTTCTTGTCACTCCACCCACCTCACCCTCACCTTCTGTTCTATGTAGCTGATATGTCAGTTTGTCTTTTTTCATTGTATCCCTCTCTTATATATTGGTCATGCCAATTTGCTTTCAGAATATGATCTGAAGAAGTGAGTTTGCCCCACGAAAGCTAATCACCTGATAAACTATCCTGTTAGTCTTAAAGTGCTACATGACTGCTTTTTTTGTTTTACCAAGATCAGACTAACATTGCTACCTCTCTGTTACGTTTCCTTCTGAGAGTTGCCTATACATATTCCATTCTTGCAAGCAGTGACTGATATAAAGGTGGTGGTTACTCAGATCTACTTAAATAAGGATTGCAACAACGCTCTACCAAAGTGGGCAACCGATCTAGTGACTGCATAGTGTGTGGGGAAAGTGCAGAGTAGCGACATGGTCCTCCATACACACATTTCCTGGGTGGGAACCTGCGCCAGTAACTCCCCTGAAGAAGCCTAAGCCCTGGTGGTGTGTGCAATTATTGGAAGAGCATGCATCCCTGCCTGGTAGTAGCACGCACACATGTAGGACAAGATCCACGATGAAATCCATTGGGAAGAAACAAGAGGACCTTTCATTCTGTCTGCCACAAATAACTGGACATACTTTCAGAATGGTTTCATTCTCTTGATGTAGAAGGCTAATGCTCTGTAGAGATCCAACTAGTAAAGCCTTTTCTCCCTGATGCTCACATGCAGCTTAGGTTAGAATACTGGAAGATCTTCCAGTTTATGTGAAACTAGGAGACAACCTTCTGAAGACAAGTCAGGTGAGGCCTGAGCTGAACTTTGGACTTATGGAACACAGAGTACAAGGGCTCCAATGTTAGGGCCCTGCTTTCAGACGCCTTCCCGGCTGTTATCACTACTAAAAACATCACCCTTTAGGAGAGAGAAAACAGACAGCATGTCGCCAAAGGTTTAAAGGCCATTCCTGTAAACCTGGACAGGACCCAAGCCAGGATAGGCTGTCAGAGCTGCCCATATAGCCTGTCGAGACTTCTAAGGAAACAGCGGACCATCCAGTTAGCAAAGACCTAGCAACCCTCTGCGCCAGGGTGGAAGGCAAAGATGGCAGTCAAGTGAACCCAGATTAATGATATGGAGAGCCCCTGCCGCTTGAGATGGAGAAGACAGCCCAGAATAAGTGGATCAGTGGAGAATGTCGATGACAGTGCTGCAGTGACCAGATTGAAAACCACTTCCACTTGGCAAGGTAGCTAGCTCTCATAAGATGGCTTCCTACTTCAAAGGAAAACTTGTCTAACTTGATCTGAGCAAGAAAGTGCTGCAGGATTCAGCCATGCATCTTCCCAGTTGTGAGGTGCAGTCCTCTAGGTTTGGGTGCCTGAGACTGCTAGTAAAATCAGGAAGAACGGCAAGGTGAATAGAGTGTCCATGGACATTTTCAGCAGAGATGTGTACCAGGGTTGGGGGGGGCCAAGCTGGAGCTATCAATATCACTGAAGCTTATTGTAAGGGAGCCGGGACAGCTCTGCCTTGACAATAAATGGTGATGTCTGACTTGATCACAGTGCAGATCCCTAACAAGCAAAATCCAGACCTGTCTCAAGTCTGGTGCACATAAGCCAGCAGATCCAGAGCAGTGATTAGTCCCCTTTATTCGGCTCTGGTGAGGCCACATCTGGAGTATTATGTCCAGTTCTGGGCCCCCCACTACAGAAATGATGTGGACGCATTGGAGAGGGTCCAGCGGAGGGTGACCACAATGATGAGGGGGCTGGAGCACATGAACTATGAGGAGAGGCAGAGGGATCTGTGTTTGTTTAGTCTGCAGAGGAGAAGAGTGAGGGGGGATTTGAGAGCAGCCTTCAACTTCCTGAAGGGAGGTTCCAAACAGGCTGGAGAGAGACTGTTCACAGTAGTGACGGATGCAGAACAAGGAGCAATAGTCTCAAGTTACAGTGAGGGAGGTCTAGGTTGGATATTAGGAAAAACTATTTCACTAGGAGGGTAGTGAAGTACTGGGATGAATTACCTAGGGAGGTGGTAGAATCTCCATCCCCAGAGGTTTTTAAGTCTCGGCTTGAGAAAGCCCTGGCTGGCTTGATTTAGTTGGCGTTGGTCCTGCCTTGGGCAGGGGGCTGGACTTGACCTCCTGAGGTCTCTTCCAGCTCTATGAGTCTATGATTCTAAGCACACAGGCAAGGCTGGGATTAAAGGGGGAGGAAGCTTTGAGAGGCAGGAATTTTTGCATAATAATGCAGATTAAGCAGCACAGCAAGACACACAACAATCAAGCTTGTACTGGTACTTCTGTTTTTGATAAACAAAAGTTACAGGTGCAGCCATAAAACTTAATCACACACACAGTTTTTTCACATCCTGAGTATCAGGATGTACCCCAAATAAGGGCATTGGGTATTGTAGGTATCTTACATAATACATTATTAATTGGTAAATACTAAAACAACCAAGTCTCACTTTGCTATAAAATGGGCTTAGTAAGAGGAATCAATGGGAGTGAGAGAGAAGGATTGACCCATAGGCCCTGCTCGTTGTAACTAGTTTCCAGCTTTGAGAGGGACATAAGCAAGCTATAGTGGGATATTGTCCCTAATTTCTGGGTCAAGAGAACTAATGAGAGGGAGGCAGTGATGGTATGGCAGATCCAGAAATCACACTTATTGCAGTCATGCCAGACCTATGAGAGACAGCTCACTCTTACTCTAGACCAGTGGTCTCCAACCTTTTTACACCCAAGATCACGTTTTAAATGACAGAACAAGCCAAGATCTACCACCCTGCCCCTTCCTTGAAGCCCCGCCCCCTCTATTCTCCTCCTCTCCATCACTTGGCCTTGAAGCCCCGCCCTCTCCATTCTTCTCCTCTCTATCACTTGCTACCCCCAACCCTTATACTGCTACTTTTTTCCCCAATTTTTCTGTAGGAAGAAGTTTTTCCAACGTTTGGCCTGTCTAGACTGGACCAAATGTCAGAAAAAAACCTTCTTTTGGAAGCCCCCTTATTCCTCATGGAAAGAGGCATATAGGAATGACCGAAAGATCATGTTTGCTCT